ATCTATAAATAAGCCAAAAACTTCTTTTATATTCGAAAAAATAATAATCAAAACACAAGATCAAATCATTTTGAAATAAAAAATCCTAAACTCAACAACGAAAAAAGGCCATTCTTGGAATGGAAACAATACGATAGTTAAGACAGTATTTCACAATCTTTAAGACGTGGATATTAAAAAGTCTAGCCCTGAATCTGATCTCAGTCGATTTCTTGTGAAATAAAATTCAATAGTTAAAAGTATTGAGTAATTTGAGCGACCTTAGTATTGAATTGATATTAGTGAACTCAATACGAATGTTATTGTAAAGGTCTTGATACTAAAGCGTGGTTATGGTAGACTGACTGCACGGAAAGATTCAGACATTGGTACAGATAATTTCGATAAATTGGAAATTGTAAATTTTAGTTTTGAACAAGATATCTAAGTACCAACACATCAAGTAGAAAAAGACAAAACGAAGTACAATAAGAAACGCTCTGAGATCGTAAAATGTGAATACGATAATCGAGAGGAATCGTGTTGACAAAACTTAGCTATTAATTAGGCATATCTTAAAAAGTTTCCATAACGAATTAAACTGAATACATCATCGCATACAAACATTCCTAACACTATAAAACAACAAATTTTACTCATAAAACCGTATATAAATAACAACATAAAATTGACCTATTGAATATAATTAGCTAGAAGCCGGTTCCGTGTTTATAGTAGGTAGAAGGTAAACCATTAATGTTAAGACTCTTAACCAACTATGAGTCATTATAAGTTAAACACCAGTCGATATGAGAGAGGTAGTGAAAGTTCATGACGCACCTTTGTTGATGGACAAGCCCTAGCAGTTGTTGAGTCTTGAAGTAAGATTAGGTTAGACTATATGGAATTCTAGACGGTTAGGAATATTTTAACGTGGGTTTCTCGTTAAAAAGAAGTGATGTTTATGTTTTCTCAATCTGTTTGGATATTTTAGTCGAACGCTTCGTACACGAATTCATTGCAACACAAATATAAATATTGTGGAAAAACTAGTAGATACCAGAACTGAAATATTTTTGAATCAGAAACTAGATTTTAAATAAGCAAAGGAAGACGGAGCATTTTCAAAACTATACAAGTTTAGTAATATCTGTGGATAAAGGAAAAACGAAATTTGAAAAGCTAATCTTAATCAGTCAATGACAATATATAGAACCAGTAAAGCAAGTAATAATTAATACTGGAAGTGTAAAATAAAATACAGTCCAATCAACAACAGAAGTAATATTAACTATACCACTGTAAGTAACTAGGATAACGACGACTTAAACAGTTAATGTTAAGAACAAAATAAAGATAGTAAAATCAGACAATCAGCAGATTTAAACACATCGCTTTTATAATAACAAACGCGACTATCGACTAAAGGCACCAAAATCCAGTCGATACCAAGTTACATTCGGGAAAAGAAGTCAAGAAACACAAAGAGAAATATCAAAATCATAACTATTTCATAATAGTATTAATTTAAACACACATCTTTCAGAAAAAGGGGCATCAAAAGATAAGCAACAAAAAATCCCATTCACCTAATATAAAATGAACCTCATTTTCTACCACGTTTACGATTGCGTCAGATCGGCTGAGTAATGTTAATGTTGTAGCCGTACTCGCAACGCACGTGGTAAGTTGTTACGATTATATTTTGTAACAACTACTAAAGGTACTTTAAGTACACGAAGGGATATAAGAAAGGTGCGTTGCTACATTTGCTTGAAGTATGAGGGGTCTTAGAATTGCAAAATGCTGAGACGAGAGTAAGGAGTTTAGATTTTACTTGAAAACTGTAGGAGAAAAGTGGCGTAGATATATTAGTTAGTGTAAGAATTAGAACTAAGGCTTCAGATAAAGAGAAATGAAAAACAACGCTAACGTTACTATTTGCTAAAGTTTATGTCGATAAGATACATAGATAGTTACCAGAACACTGAAAACATACCACTAGTAGACAATTTTGGAAAATTATTGAAAGGTTTTTCGCTATTATCAAGATCTACCGTAAGCCATAGTGGTGAATTCAATACAATTTGCTTGACAAAACTATTTTTACATTTTACTTTCGTTTTGCAAACGTACCGGTTTTTCCGACTCATTCTATTCATCAATGTCATTTTCAACCTTTAACGATTTGTTATCATGTTTAACCAGAATCTGAGTTTAATGTTAACTTGCTATACCGGTTAGATATTAGATAATCACTTTCTTGTAGACCTGAATAGGGAAATGATGAAATTAACTGACAATAAAATTGAAAGTAAGACTTAATTTTTAGATCACAAACAGACACTTTTAAAAATTATAAAAGGTTTACTTTTCCGAAATTCATAACTTCAAAAACCTATAAAAGATCTAATTGGTATTTCCTGTAAAGTTCCCCAAAAGTAATTCAACACCAGAAGAATTAATTCCATAAATCGGAATCACCTTTTACATTTCATATCTTGTATTGTATCCTTTTCTATGTAAAAGTTTATTATTTTAACTAATGCACCGTTCTCATTAACCGAAATGATTACGAGTGCAACGTGTAAACAAACTCCAGCTTCGTTCGCCATGTTATTTCTTTCCAACCCAACCAATGTGTTTGGCCTAAAATGGTTGCGTAAACATGTTTTTTTGGGAGCACTATTTTTGTTTTTGTATGCTTCTGTTTTCATAGTAGGATGTACTTATGCAATGGCTTTTCTAATGTGAATAAAATCTGTAAGGAGACCTAATGTTTCTGTTATGTTTAATTACTAATTACAAATTCTTCTCTATCTTTAGAATGTTGTGTCTCATTAATAAGTTTTCTTCGTGTATAAATTCCTGTATGAACTACATGTTTTGGTTCAGGGTAAATCCAATGCATTAACACTATCTCGCTTTATCAATAACGAACATTCAATTTAGTCATCCGAATCCCCCATTAGAACTCCCAAAATAGCAGCAGCCATGTTTTTTGCAACGTTTCAAAAATTTAATTACAGGGCCTAACATAAAAATTCAGTAGGAGCAACATGGTTATGAACTTTTATTTTTATTGACCGTTATTTCGAATTGTTTTTATTAAAACCATCCGATATGACGAAAATACTCGTTGTACCGAATAATATCAGAATATTCGTTAGAGTTAATAAAAGTGAAGCATACTTTTTATCAGTTGCTTATCATTGTGTGGAGGAAATAGATTTGCCATGATCAAGTTGGCTGATAGGCAGTAGTTAATAAAGGCTTATCTATTTAGAGCTGTAATGGGATTTACACGAGACTTCATGATCAAATCATGTTATGAAAATGGATGACAGATTAGGAAAGGTGCTGATAATAATAGAGAGCCTAGTAATAGGAGCCGCCTTAGGACGTAAGTGGGAACTAGGTGCAGATTTCTCTTAATCAGCGAATTAGTATAACCAGATGAATGAGCATGATGCAAGATAAAGAAGTATATAAGTATTGCAGTATGTAGTTCACTACAGTTGATCCTCAAAATAAGCTTTACAGAACGCCCCGTAATCATAAGGTTTATTTTCACGACAAAATTCACCTTAATATTGATTACCTCACCAAGCTATTCCATATTATTATACACATATTCCTACTAATTTCTAACCAGAAAATCAATGCCAATTATACTTCGCTCACACGTGTCTCTCCCTTGTCAATCAGTTAACAAAACAACGACAGGCGAAGGAGAATCCCTTCACGTTTCCTACTTGACAATAAACGATATATTGATGTATATCATATCATACTTCTTGGTAGTCAAGCTGCGTTTAGATTAAGTTAGTGGAGAGATGAGTGGAATGGAGAGTAGAGGGTCTATAGTAAATTAGTAATACATTTTAAAATAAAGACTAAGTTTATTTGAATGCGTTAATATCTAGAAGACTACCAATATTGGTTTGATTTGAATAGTTCTTTTTGAGTTGGATAGTCCATTTACGAGGAAGGTTTTAAAACATCACGCTACGATTAGTAAGAGCTGAGCAGGTGAATTCAAGCAGGGGTACTTTGTTACTTTGTTTTTTACCTCTACCATAACATAACATAACATCAGGCCTTTTATCTCAGAAGGGGTAAGTAGAGGTGCACATTCACTATACAATGTAACACCCACTATTCGCTATTTATGTTATGAATCCCATGTAACAGGGGGTGAGCCTATTGCCATATACCGGGCACAATTCCAGACTCCTCTACTATATGCCTTATTTATCTACTATTTGCCTATCTTAAATCTTGAGTGTTATACTTATTTTGTTGTCCACATTTCACTTTATGACAATAAAAATGTTATATTTCATATTCCGTGATATCTATCGGTGTTATTTCGTATAATAATTGTATAACTAATATCCGGCTGTTATGAAAGTGTGATATAATCGTTGTTATAATCCGTGTAAATTGTGTACTATTAAGATGTGATCGAAACGAACCGATTTCCTTATAACAATAAAAACATACATTTACTTTTTATACATACGTTTGTTTTTAGAAGAAACATGTGTAATGTTCATAACAGTCATTATTTTAATGTTCAAAATAGTCTGTCTACGATTACGTTGTCTATAATTTCTCAAAAGTCCATCTGTTTTGAATCACTCGCCGCCATTACTTGCACCATTAATGTAAACTTTCCCCAGGAAGCTTCGCAGTTAAAAGAGTTAGGTGTAGTGTAAACGTATCAAAGGATTTTACTATTTCTTGTGATGTCTTTATTTAAGTTAACAGAAATCTTAAGAAAATGTGTTATAAGATTATTTTTACCTAAAATTACACTTAAGAAATTTCCACACTGATACTAGTATCACAAAAAAACCTATAATCACATCATAAATCAACGTCAAGTATCAAAATTGTATCGCCTACGGGTCGTAAGTTTCAACTATAGCGAAGCTCCCTAAATACACAAGGCGCCTATTCATGAGAATTTATCAAGGCAAACGAGGCACGGACGCGGCGCGGTGCGGCGTTACATTTCATTCCATTGTGCGACGCTCGACACATTCCAAGGTCCCCAAAGACAGATACAAACGGTAAACTGATAACGTCGGACTCTGGTCTGTGATGGCACTTTCCGGACCCAAAGGGTCTCGAATGTCTTTCAAGAAAGGTGGTAGCTGAAATACGCCACTATTGAGGCGTACAAGAGTAAATTGGACACAATAGGAGATGGTATTATAATACATGTTTAAATGGTCCTCCAAACTTAATATCCTGAGCGATGTGTAGTCAATTAGAATAACAAAAGATGAATTCTCATTGGGTACAATTTGAATTAAAAGATAAACCATTTGTATGTCTATGCCTAAACCCTTTTTCGCTGAAAACGGATGAGCATAAAATTTTAAACCATCTAATTAACAAGGCGGAGTGTTTTAATGCAAACATTTGGTAAAAGACCAAAGTCGTACAGAAAGACCAACTTAGCGTCTGATATAACCGTCTAATTTGGGTAGAATAGCACATAATTTAGATAACAAAACACAAACAAACGGGCAGGGAAAGTACTTCAGAAACAGCCCTCATACCCTCCGCGAGCCCTCTGTAATTCAAAATGAATGCGAGGAGATTAAAAAAAGATATCATGGACTGGGTTCACGTGTAGATGCGACTTAAAAATAAATAGAGGGGGAATTTGAAAAGGATAATGAAAGGATGGGAAACGCTAGTTGCGGCTATGAGGTTCACAATACACGCAGACACCAGCTAGGATAATGGAAGTTTTATTTTCGTTTTTCAGGAGGACAATAGTCCTTTAATTATTGTTTACATGCCTTGGGCTTGTTCAACTCTATAGAAACCAATCGCTAAGGAATACAAATAGTAAAGAACGAAATAAAAGTTTGCGAAATATTCTATGAATGGCCGAACTGTTGAGCAAGAGGAAATTTGAATCAGTCCCAGTGGTAAGCTAAAAATAAGGAAGTATTAAGGGAAAAGATAAGAATAGAAAACGCTGCGAGCTGTTTCATCCGAACTTAAGTCTTTATCTACTACGAAACTGCAGTTTATTGAAACTTTCCCAACAATCTTCGGTAGCAGTATATCGTAAAATTTTACGAGACAAACATTAATATTCGAAGCGAAATTATTCTGATAAATCCTTGGTAATACTTTGAAGATAGTTTATTCTGGACGTAAAAAATGACTACTTTATCCCTAAAAGACCTAAGGCATTTATCTGAATCTTTACAAGACAGTATGAAATCTCGAAAAATGTAAATTTATTATATTACCTAGAAAAAGTAATTAATTGCTCGGGGCTAAAAAGGCTTGTTCTACTGGATGAGAAAAAATTCTACGAATTAGGTAAAACGTGGCTACCTAATTTAACATCATGTATCATAATATCTATCTAGTCTACCCACACAAAATAACGAATGAAATTATCTTGATAGCTTTAGAGTTATGAAACATAGAGTATGTATTCATCACGAACTAAACACATAATCAAAAGAAAACAAAGAACTCGTTACTATTATATTATTATATTAAACAATACAGCTCGTATTAGACAGTACAAATAAATCATAGTTCCATCCTGTTCTATCTTAGTGTGTCAGAACGAGATAGATACAGCGTTCGATTATAAGCTTGTCATTCACGAGGATCGCATGCGCACCTGCGATACACACGTTTAAGGTATTTGCATCTGATTACTGTTGCAAAGCATTCATTGCGTATAGGTGTATGAATGTATGGAGGCGGTTTATTAAAGGTTACATTTTATGAGTCGATAAAACAATTTGGAGATGATTGAAGCCAAATAGGCTAAATCCAATTGAATGAACAAAGGTGTAAAAAGCTATATTAGTCCAAATACAACCTCCTACGCAAGTTCATTAGACACAAGGACTCGATTGCTATTCAGTTCGTAACCCCTTAGTACGAGTACAATTTAACAACAGCACAATTGTTCTACATTCACAACTGAGTTACAGAGTTTACGCCCTGTAATTTCATTTACCACTTATTATGGAATAATGGAGCTTTGTTGGTCAAATTGAGGGTCTGTCTGTGTAGTCTCTAAGTCTTGAAGTATTTAATGAAATAAACTTAGTATCTTATTGAGAGAATTCTAATCTATTTGAGGCAAATTGTTAACACCAAACCTAGTTTAGTATCAGTTTGAAGTTTGTGTTTAAGTTTGATAATAGAACTAAGAGAGTAGTTGGCAGCACAATCGTTTTAAAGGTCCTTTTAAAGAAACTTGGTTTTATGTTACTATGAAACCTTAGTAGCAGAACTCAGTATATGTTTTACTTATAAAATGCCAGAGTCAATTGTGCATTCCGTTACCGCATCCACATTTCCTTGGTCTTAGATTTATTGCATACACGGCAAAGTCGTCGGTAGGTGAACAAGAATCCACGACTCATTCAGTATTCACGCGCGTGTTAGAATATCTGTCTGTGACCGAGCGTCTCTAGATATTCTAGTTTATTCATTGCTTATTTTTGAGATGGAACAACTGAATAATTTTAGAAAACACTAGATAAAGTTTGTATAAGATAACTTCTGCAGGTAAACATTCGTTTGGAGGTAGTGTGAAATCACAAAGGTCGTGCACGTTTGCAATTTAGTCAGTACTGTAGTATCAAATTCATTGAACAAATTTTTGCAATAGCGATAAAGTGCAATCACTGGGTGATTAGCACACAATCAAAAATAATCAAAAAGTATTGTATAATAATTAAGGAAAATACGGTGGATATAGATAAATACGTCAATGATTTTCTCGTAACCAAAGATATAATTTTACGGATAAGATTAGCGGAAAATGGCAGGCATCTTTTGTATTGTCATTAGCTGCAGACAGCCGTGCTGCTAATACTTCAACGTCAAGTCCTGAGTACGTAGGCGGCATTTAATTAAGGTCATTATAAGTCTTCCTTGAGATATCCTTTAAGATAACAAAAGAATTTTAATAGTAACTTAAAGAATTTACACTTGGATACTTGTGTTTTACGATATCAGCGAAAATTTTAGGCATCAATTATATTGTTGATGGATGAAATTTGTTTCAATTATGCGTCGATAAACAAGTTATAATATTAAGACAACAACCGTTAGGGAAAATTGAGCAAACGCTTAACCAAATTCCGTTTAGCTTCGTTTGCCTTTCTGAATCAGTTCACGTACCTTTTGAACGAAATTTAAACAAACCAATTTTACTACCAGGTTTGGACTTGTTAGATAAATTGTGGCAAAGTCTCATATATAAGAGCCCGGAGCGATGCCAAAATGGTAGTTAAGAGCGTATAAATTTCCCTCTGCCCTAGATTTTAGTTTTAAGTTCGAAATTTTTGGCGCTTCGAGATTAAAACCGACTGGAATTATTACTTGGCTGTACATGTTACGTGATGCTAGAAAATACACAATGTATGTTTGCAAACGAATATACAAAGTAACTAGTGCGGTTTTCATTAGAGAGGGAGCAGAGTAAAAACAACATACACTTCTAGAAGTTATGTTTTACTCTTTTAATTACTCTAAAATCGACATTTTGTTAATAAAATATTAACAAATACACTGCAATCCTGTACCTCTAGCAGGTGTAGACCTAGACATCCCTGCTTACAGTCTATTGACCCTAGGTCATCTATTTATGCCTTTCAGGTTCACGAAGCCGTAAAATTCAGAGCACAGCATGTTTACTATAACGTTCAGTTTTAACATGGGTGGATAAACAGGACAAAGACTTATTTTCTTAGCTGGGACAGAAGCCAAACAAGATATTAGGACACTTTTAAATAACGTACAAACTTTTAGAGTTAGTTGCACGACGCTCAACTTATCGCCTGTCTACTCATGATTATGAACCCCTAATGTAACTCGAAACTAGTCCAGCTGCGTCGTTGAACAGTTACGTAAGTCGTACAACTTAATTATCCTGCAAACTGATTGTATCTCTTATGTTATATCGTTATTCATACTCTGTGGCCCATATATGGGTTTAAGCGTTTTTTTTTCTTTCCAAATTCTTTTATCAATTACCTACGTGTTTTATTTGAAGAGACCTTGCAATCCTCAGTTGATAGGAATCCATTCACATTTCGTCGATGCGAAACCACGTTTCTATTATCCTTGAGAACAGCAGCGATTTTCCTCGCTCCGTGAATTGTAAATACATCTAAAAGGTCTTTTTCGGAATAGGTTTTCGTGTGACCTTTGATAGTATTAGGAGAATTGTAGAATAGAACTTTATTTTTCTTTAATTTGACTATATGTACTTTTTGAATAAGGACCATTTTTTTCGAATAATTTGAAGAAGTCCCAACATCGGATTGTCTGTAAATCCCTGTTTAAACATTTCCGAATTTATCAAAGTTAGCGTTACGGTGAATGCTGGGCCATATTTAGACAAAGTTTTTGTTTTAGTTCAAGGTCGTATTTTTTCCGCGGCATTACTTCGTCATGGACTCGATTTAAAACAAATGTTCCGTGGCATACAGGATTTCCTTGATACAAGTTACTAAGTGGGTAGGGATATAAATAATACCTATAAATAATTTTAGCTTTACCTGGATGAGTTAACTGTCATGGTGGTTCATGATTGTAGGTTTTAAAGTAGGTAATATACTAAATCTGGGGCATTCCACTTTGCGCACCTAAATGAAGCGCACCCAGACGAAGCGCACCTAAAGTATTCCACTTTGCGCACCTGTAGGTGCGCTTAAAATAATAATTTTAAATAAATGGTTTTTCTATTCCACGAAGCGCACCTACGAATATCACTCGCATAGTGCGGAGACTAAGAAATAAAAATATCGATATAAGAAAATATTTATTATTTAAAAGACTAACTCTATTCTACTATAACTGTTTCATTTATGTCATTCTTATATATAGTTTCATTATAATAATGTGACACAATATTTGTCATTTTCATTTTGTTATCTTAGTATTTAAAATCACAGATTGTTTCATAATTACAATAAAAACATGGACAAATATCAATATTGTGTCACATTATTATAAAGAAACTGACAGATGTTAGATATTTAAGTTAGTCTTTTAAATAATAAATATGTTCTTATATCGATATTTTTATTTCTTAGTCTCCGCACTATGCGAGTGATATTCGTAGGTGCGCTTCGTGGAATAGAAAAACTATTTATTTAAAATTATTATTTTAAGCGCACCTACAGGTGCGCAAAGTGGAATACTTTAGGTGCGCTTCGTCTGGGTGCGCTTCATTTAGGTGCGCAAAGTGGAATGCCCCCTAAATCTATCTTGGTGTATAGCACTAGCCTCGAACCTATGACACCAAAGAACAAAAATCGGTTTC